AAAAACTGAAAAACTGAAAAAATTGTAGGCTCTTCCTGATGACGGATCTTTTAGACGATTTTCTTGAGGAAAGTGAGTCTAGAGAAAACAACAAAAAGATTTTTTTTATTTTTTTCTTAGGTAATGTAGCAATTCCCCCTTGGTTTTTCTTTAAGCCGCGGTTCTTTTCCAAGGGTTTAGCTTGAACCGGGCATAGGTAGTTTTTATTTTTATTTTTTTGATTTGTAGATTAGGGTAATGGGCTACGATCTATAAAATTGAAAGAGAACCCATAGCATTGACACACTTGAACACAATAGACCCTAGAGTATAACACTTAGTCCTAATTGTTGAATCTCACTGAAAGTGCCTTAATTTGTATGTTTATTACTGAATTGAATGCTCGTAATGGAGTGTCTTGATGAGCTGATCTGGAATGAGTCTTATGCCATGTGTGGTGAGTTTTGTGTAGTCCATGTATTGTACTTGTGTATAGAACTTGCCCGGTATGTGAGTTGAAGCGAAATTTTAGGTGATGCTCGGTTTGAAAAATGATGTTAGGCTTTCTTTGACCTTTTTGAGCTTAATTGTTTATCACAAATAAAATTTGTCCCTAGTTAACCTTTTGGGCCTTTAGACTTTTGTTTGGCACCCACATTACAAGTCTATACCCTTTTGTTCTTAATTGACATTATTTTGATCCTTTTACCTCTTAAAGCACTTCAATTGTGAGAGGAGCGCTAAAAGAAGTAAGAAGGAAATAAGTGTGAGGTGGCTTTTGAGTGGAACCAATAAAAGGATTAAAGGTGCACGTATGTTGTAAACGAATACACCACTAGCAGAAATTGAGTGACAAGAAGAATAAACTGGAAAAAAAAAAAGATGATTACATTGTGTCTTGTTCCAGCTAGTGGGAATGAATTAATAGAGTGCTTAAAGAAGAAGGGAGTATTTGTGGGATGATATTATGTGTGAATGAGAAGTGGGTTGAAGAATTTGCGCTAAAAATTGCTCATGTGATGTGTTAAAGTGCTTAGGGGTTGAGTCACTATTCCTAAATACATCCTACCCGTCCCTTAGCCCACATTACAACCATAAAAAAGTCCTAATTGATTTTGGATCGAGCTAGCCTACATTAGTAGAGATTTACATTAAGGGCAAGCTTATGGTATCAATTGCATGCATGTGACCTCTTTTGTGAGAGTGAGTGATTTCCTTGATATATGTGAGTATATGAATTGAATGTGGTGGATTGAACTCAGTTTTTGTTGATGTAATTGTGAGGGCATATGATTCGTGACGGAAAAGCAAGTCTTGACTTCTGTGTAGAGTACTTTGAGGAAGTGTGAATATTGCATGGCACTTGAGAGTCGACTTTGAGGCTAGGATTGTTCACTGCTAGGCGTAATACATGTACATTGTTCTAGGTGTAATGCGTTAAGGGAAATGGTAGAGTGAAGGATTCTCTAGAGAGTATAGTTGATTGCTCGAGGACTAGCAATGAATCAAGTGTGGGGTGTTGATAATAGGCGAAATCTAGGTGATTTAGCTATTGTTAATGCTTCCGCTTGATTATATTCCAATGACATATTATGGTTAATTGATGAAAAATAGGCTTTAATTGTGATATGTATACATTGCAGGACGAGGTGCATGTATGATGCTTTCAAGAGGATATTGGAATGATTTATGAGCAAGAACAACCCCTCGGAGTTGATTGCGCGCAAGGACGAGATGAAAAATGAACGAAATCAAGCTCCAGGTGTGCGACGAAACGCGCGAAGGCGCGCAGGAGTTCGCGCGTAAGAAAGGCCGAGGCAGAATCATGCGCGAAGAAACGCGCGAAGTTACGCGCGAGCTCGCGCGTGTCCGGTCCGGAAAAACGTTATTTAGGGGTAAAATTGGAAATCTGGAGAGAAACCCACTTAACCTATATAAAGTCAAGCTCGCCCAAGGTTAAATCATCAAGGGTTTTCATAGTTTAGTGCAAGAAATAGAGAGGCAAGAGGCAAGGAGGAGTTTTGACCATCAAGTTCTTCTTTTCTTCTCTTGTTTTTGCTGTTTTGTGATGAAATTGAACTTATTTATGATGAACACTAGTATGAGTGGCTAAAACCCATTGTTCTGGGGTCATGGGTGAAACATGAATGTTGTTGTTTGAAGTTTAATTCTACAAAGTTGGTTTATCATATTGGGTTGTTTATTTAATTCTGCGTTTAATTATTTTGCTGAGTAGCTAACAGTGAAATACTATCTACGAATCTTTAGTTGAACTCGAAAGTGGGAACTTTAGATTGCATATAGAATTAAATAGAGCAAGTTCTTGAACCTGGGTCTCGGGGAACGGATTCGCAATTGGGATAGACATATACCCAATTGCCTTGCTTGGTTGAAATACAGGAATTGTAAATGCGTTCTTGTTAATCTTAATTCCATAGACATATAGGCATTGAGTTGACTTGAATAGGCGAGTAAGAACTCGACAGATTCTTATGAGTAATATCAACCCTGTCAATCAATAACCCAGATAAATTGATTAGTCATTCTAAGCCAAGAACACAACACGATTTTTAACTATGCCCGTGACCCTGGAATATCCTCTCCTACTGGTTGTTACTCAAAATTGATATTCGTTTGGTTACTTGCTTTTGTTAGATTAATTCTTTATAGTTTAAGTAGTAAAACAATTACATCTCTCTTTTGTGAACAATCTCTTGGGTAGATACAGAAATTGGGTTTGAATCAGTCAACAGTTAATCATAAGTCTTCGTGGGAACGATACTCTACTCACTACTCTATTACTTGACGATCACGTGCACTTGCGTGAGTGATTTTGGTCGCAACATAGCGTNTATTTTCAGCATGTATCACTATTGTTCACACCTCCTATTTCTGAAGCTTAACTCAGGTAGAACCATTTGCCCTAGGGGATCCAGCTCATAGTTTCCGGGTAGAAGTACTCTTCGCTCAGGGTGTTTTACATAGCTTAACCCAGGTAGAACCGTTTCGCCTAGGGGGATCCAGCTCATAGTTCCGGGTAGAAGTACTCTTCGCTCAAGTTGTTTTTACGTAGCTTAACCCAGGTAGAACCTTTTCGCCTAGAGGGATCCAGCTCATAGTTTTTGGGTAGAAGTACTCTTCGCTCAGGGTGTTTTACGTAGCTTAACCCAGGTAGAACCGTTTCGCCTAAGGGGATCCAGCTCATAGTTTTCGGGTAGAAGTACTCTTCGCTCAGGGTGGTTTTACGTAGCTTAACCCAGGTAGAACCGTTTCGCCTAGGGGGATCCATCTCATAGTTTCCGGGTAGAAGTACTCTTCGCTCAGGACATTTTACGTAGCTTAACCCAGGTAGAACCGTTTTGCCTAGGGGAATCCGGCTCATAGTTTCCAGGTAGAATTACTCTTCGCTCAGGGTGTTTTACAAACTTAACCCAGGTAGAACCGTTTCACCTAGGGGGATCTAGCTCATAGTTTCCGGGTAGAAGTAATCTTCGCTCGGGTTGTTTAAATACAGTTTAACTTAGATCGAACCTTTTTTCACCTAGAAGGATTCAACACTTTATCAATAATACATGGTGCTAACACCCGATTCTATTTCCTTCTAGTGAGAGAAGGTACCAGCCCCTGATTACATTTTCTTTTAGTAGTACGTGGTATCGATCCCTGGTTATACAATCATTCATTACCAAATTTTATCCCTTTTTAGATAGTTTTTACTACGGTTTCTATCTGTCTTTTCAATAAATTAGATAATTTACAGATTTCTCTAATAACTCACAAAATGTTTCTAGTGCTAGAGTGGGGCAGAAAACTTTTATTCGTTTTTGTTTGTCTTTGATGGCTTTGCAGGCTCTGCCGTATAGCACAAGTGACGATTAAAGCTTGCAGTTTCAGTTTCTCATCAGAAGAAAGAAATGCTTCGATCACAAGATAGTCGGAGTTTAGCTTTGATAATGTGTCAGTAGCCCAGCTTCTCGAGATTCATCTTCTCAAATTCTGATCTAGAAAGCAAGCCATCGAGATTGAGTCATAATCTTTTCTTCAAAAGATTAAGATCCAATCTAAGGTCAACACAAGCGAGTAGGTCAAAAATCAAGATTTGACTCCAGAAGACACGTGGATAGGAATTTTTGTACTCTTAGTTTGCAGACATATGTAGTGCTCTTCTCTTTTTCTTTTGATGTAAGAAGCAGTAACGGTAAGAGTAACAGTAATAGCAACAGCAACAACTGTCTTAAGTCCAGTGTCCGGTAGTCCCAGCTACCAAAGTTTTTCAGAACTACACTGACATGATTCCTTTATAGCCCAGGATATGTAGGCAACCTCAGAAGCAAGGTTCGATCACCACCTTTTTCAAAATGCTTCCACTAGAGTGAATGTGAGCAAAAATTATCCATAGCATTTATTTGTCTTTGCACGAAAACTCTTCATGTTCTCGAGCAAAGAGGGGCAGCTATAAATGCCTAATTTTTGCCTTGTATATATATGTGTATGTATTTGTTCTTATTTGTGTATATATAGGTTTTAAGAATTGAGTAATGGTTTGATAAACGGGGTACGAATTGGGCTAGTATAATTTAATTAAAATTGTGCCAAAATTGGCCCAAAAGTTGAGCCCAAAGAGCCCAAATCCGGTCCAAAAGGGGGCTGCCAAGAAGAGCTTAAAACGACGTAGTTTTGTCTTGAAACTACGTCGTTTTGGTTAAGTGACAAGGTTCAATCTCATCCACCCATCATGATTTAATCCAACGGTCCTAGTTTGATCTTCATCCTAGGTATTTAAAGCCTAAAATCCCCAAAAATTTGCCTCATTTCCCCCTTATTTCATCTCTCTTCTTTCCCTCTCCTTCTTCTCTCTTCTCTCTCTCTTCACTCTCTCTACGCCGCCCCAGCTCCGCTCACCGCCGCCTGCCGGAAATCGCCGCCGCTGGCGGGCCACCTCCAAACACCTCTAAATTCACGCCACGTAATCTCCACAACTTCCTCTTTCCATATCTCCAAACTAAATCCTAAAAAAATCCTCAAACTCCTTGAATCTTAGATCTAGGAAACTTTCACGTTACTTTTTTGGCCAAATTCTTGAAGCTACAACCACTACCACCCCAAAATACTTACATCAATGGATAGAGCTCCTCAAGACCTAGCTATTGATGTCAATTCTACCCCAAAAATCTGGCGACCAAAATCCGACCTAATTCCGGCGACCTCCCCGAACACCCTCTTTGGCATACCACCATTTTTCGGTCCTTTGATGTATAAAATGGTAAAATACTATTCTTTTTCATGGCTGATTTTTTTATTTTAATTTTTAATTATCAGATTTTATTTTTTTCTATTATTAATTATTTTAGCATTAGTTTTTGAAGTTTGAAATGTTAAATTTTCTTTTTTTGCACTTGTTGAAGTAGTAAAATAGTTTTGTATTGATAAAAGTGAGGTAATGAAAAATACTTAAGAGTATATGGTACTTGTTTGGTTGTTTGTTTACTGCTTCAAGACTCTTTGAGTACAACACTCAAAAGTCAAATTGTTTGGTAAGAAAATGTAGACCTTTGGACATTATTTGAATAAAGTCTATCTTTGAATAGTGGAGAGCAGATTTTGTTTGAAATACTTGACAAGATTTGAACTAGAAAGTCTTGCTTTTTGAATTTAAGAGCAGATTTTGTAGAAAAATCTGTCAAAAAGATTGATTTTTAATTTTTTTTGAAATAGCTGGTTGTTTTGATATATAGAGGGGACTCCATCACATTTTGGAGGGGATCATTTTCTGCTTTTGAACATACAACAACAAAAAAAATTAGCAACTGAAGCATCCTTTAGTAAGCTGAAATTGTAAGTCTTAAGAGTGAATCTTAAAATGCAAACCTTTTCTTTAGAAAAGTATAAGTCCTCTTTAGAGTTTGCTTCTGGGTTTGTTCTCTGAGTTTTCGAGCTGTTTTAACACGGATTTGCTGTTGGTTTTGTTGCTGTTGTGCTGCTATTTTTATGTTGCTTTAGTTGCTGAGCTTCCATTCTTTGTTGCTGTATTTATTATTCTGCGACTCAAGTAACTCTTTAATCTTATGTTGCAGATGTTTTCACATTAACAAGAAGATTTGAACTCATCTTGATTGTTGGGAGCATGTCCATTTAAATAAATGAGTGCTTAGCTAAATTTCTTTATTGTTTAAATATATCTTGTTGTAGTTCATATGTAAAATAAATCCTTGGTTGATCAAACACTTTTTTATTCATGTGTTATTTGTCTTTACCATCTATTATAGTATTGATGCATATAAAATTGAGATGTTCCAAGTAAGTTGCAATGTGCTTAAAGACTCCTTTTGCACCTTTGCAGTTCCGGCCAGTTTATGAAAAATAACAAAAGAGACATGCTTGAAACCTTTATTTATTTTTACAGATTTTATGTGTGACCATCTCTGCTAGGATTTTAGATTTATTTTTTTTTGGTAGAAAGTGGCTAGATCCTACATATGTTTTGAAATTGCTAGTTAAAAATAAGGGTTAATGGCTTAGAGCAAAAGAGGCCAGACTCGCAATTTAGCCCAGGTGGGCTGTCGTAGTAAACCAACATTTGAAATCTATTGGGCTTTCAGCTTATGCCCATTTCGGAGCCCAATAATTGGCCAAGGCAGATTCTGTCCAATAGGCCCAATGCTTTTAAGAAGTCTATAAATAATTTGTCCATTTATTTCATAGATGTTGTCCCAATGCCATAACTAAGTAAGCAAATTGGCCCACTTTCTCAATAAATAATATGATCTATCTTCAAAATAATACTTACTAGATTAGTTGAATAGACTTATTAAGAATTAGTTAATTTTCATGATGTGTAATAATAATCCAATAACTTAAGTACCTTTAATTAATTTAAACGCTAGGCAACTAGTAGGTCCGTTTTAACTTTTTATTATTATTATTATTTCACGGACTCGCTTGCGTAGCGTGATATTAACTCTTAATATTTTAATTCAGTAATCTCATACTATTTCTACTAGCTTTAATTATTTTCTAATTTAATAAACTCTTTGCTAAACTCGCGGATTCGCTTGCGTAGCGCGATAGTAACTCTTAATAAATAATTTTTTCAATGCACAAATATAGTAATTTTTCTGAAAGTAATAACGTGTTAATAATTCTTTGTCATGACTGTGGATTCGCTTGCGTAGTGCTGTTATGACTAAGCCAATAAATTTTGTCTAGATTACACATTCGTTAGCGTAGTGTGATTATGACATTTTATTATTATTATTATTTTATCAAATAAGTAAAAGCGGACATAAGAAAAGCATAAAAATTAAATAAATCACCGTTTATCCAAGTTTAATTCAAGCCAAATGTAGTCAATAAAGCGACCGTGCTAGAACCACGGGACTCAATGCCTTACACCTTCTCCCCGGTCAACAAAATTCCTTATTCGGACTTTGTTTTCGCGGACCAATAGTAAAAGAGTCAAACCTTCCTTTGAATTGGGATTCAAATAAAAGGTGACTTGGAACACCGACAAAAAACAATTTCAAGTGGCGATTCTGTAAATAAAATAATCCCTATTTCAAAATTGTCACTTTAATTAAAAAAAACTCTTTAACCCACATTATCTTTTGTAGGGGTAAAAAGGGGTGTGACAATCATTATTAACGCTTGGCAACAATCTAGTATCGAATGAGAAAAAGTGATCAAGAGAAAGTTACTAGAGAGGAGCTCAACTCAACTTCAACTGACGAGCCAATATATTCGACTGTCTATCAAATTAAAGCAGAAAAAAAGAAAGTAAAAAAAATACAACTGCAAGTAAGTTAAATTCCAATTTTTTCTAAAGCTAGTCTTCTGAGATGACAGGGAGCCATCACCCATTTGCTTCTCTAGGAGGAACATATAACCAGTAGAACTACCTTGATGATATGTGGGATTCGGAGGAATAGTCCAACTCCTCATTTTCCCATTTAAGTTTTGAGGTAACAATTTCTTGGCTGGGAAAGTAGCCCTGGAAAAAAAATGAGATAATTAAACCATGGATAAAGTTCTTGTAAATAGGCATAACGTTCGCGTGTATAATAACTGTATGTACTACTAGACTATAAGTCTTGATCAGTTTTACCTCGAGTTTATTTAGAAGTTCGGTGGCATTAGGAGCTGATACAAAAATTTGAGGGGCGTTGGGGCAGATGAATTCTTCCTCCACTGCTTTCTCAATAAATTTCAAGAGGGAGTCGTAGTAACCATCCACGTTCAATAATCCTACCTGCATGCATTATTATTACTAGTACTAGTATTCCATTCAAAGGGTACATTTGTTTAATAATTAGAAAAGTTTTTAATTAGTTGATTAATGAACTCCCATTTAGGATTTTATCCGAAATTTTACCGGTTTATCATGGATTCCAAGATAAGCCCAAGCAATGACTTCAAGCAGCTCTTCTAACGTTCCATAGCCACCTGTAATTATCCCATGCACGTGCGTACGATATTATTTAACTTGATATTCCCTTGCAAAAAAAAAGGCATATTATTATAGACTATGTGTTTTCCAAAATTTCCTTGATTTTTTTGGCGTTCAATATTTTTTCCCCCTAATTGTCAGAGCAGTAATTAAAAACCACCAAAATGCAAAATACGAAAAGGATATTATATTGGCGACAAAAAAGTAGTTAGACACTGCGTTCTTTTTTGGTTGGTTAGTTACAGTGATTAATTTAAGCACGCTGCATTATTCAGAACTACTCGATCTTTTTCTTCCTACTTAACTATACAGTGTAAGTCTTCTCCGATTCAACTTTAACTTATAAATATACAGTACAGTCAGTCGTAAATAATTTTTACAGTATTAATGCATCTCAACTGGTTATGTAGCAATTATTTTGTAGATTTCTTATGGTACCAAATTAAGATTAAAACATGAACAGTTGTTTGTTGTAATTGTATCCCATTTTTCATCTTAATTATAACGTGATTCCTAAGAAAGTACTAATTAATTTACTTTCCGTGCATATATACCAGTTATACTCATCATCTCTACAGTATAATTTCCTAATATTACTATGCTGTAGTATATATGAAGAATGTATGATGGCATAAGTCAAAGAAAGAAAGGAAATAATTATAAGGTAATATGAAGAAAAACAGGCGAGAATCTAGGAAGGAGAATGATGACGAACCAGGTAAAGCAATAAAAGCATCAGAATGTTTGGCCATTTCAGCTTTCCTCTGGTGCATATCTGCAACTGCCTTCACCTCTCCTACTGTTTCACCAGTTATCTGCGCATATATATGAGTGCACCACTACACTATTATTATCGTTTACAGTACAGCAAACCTTTTAAGTCAATGCAAAAATACCCACACAGCAAGTCAATCCAAAACACAACTACTGACACTTAAACTTTTAGCCCCGGGCCCACACAAGTGGATAGCATTAAGACGCACAGACACACTGATACAAAGTTGATTATCTCCAGAAACGATTGGTGGGGGTTCTTCCTTAGGTTCAGAGGTGGGGGGCAAGGGCATAATTAATAATCATAATAATTTGCAACAACATAAAACAAGAATGGAAAAAGGAGGCAAATTAAAAGAACAAAAGGAAGGAGACGACGCTTGAAATACATATCTCCGGTCTCATCTTTCACCAGGTTCAATAAAATTCATTGTTTTCTGCTCGAACTATATATACATATACAAAAAGAATTAACATAATGTTCGCACATGTATATAATAAGATCAAACTTATTTTGAACCTAATTACATACCGACTCTTGATCATGGATTCGTTGATTAACAAGCTAGAATGGGTCGTACTGTTTTTATTATTAGAATGTGTATGTTTGAATCTTAAAATTAAAATGGACAGCTTAAGAAGAGTTTCCCTTTTCTTTTTTATGGCTAAAGTAGCAAGGAGGAACAATGTCAGGGGGACCAGAAGAAGAAGAGGGAAGGAAGGGGTCAAGGGGGGGATAAAGAAAGTGATAGCTATAATTGAACAAGAAACTTCTGAAAAGAATAATTTTAAACCGAACCTACAAACTAAACAAAAATTCCATCTCGCTGTTTCATCATGATCACATACCAACAACAACAAATTTCATATCAAAGATAATAAGAATGAGGTAGAAAATACAGCAAATGTGGCTACCACAAGATGAACTAGCTAGCTAACCGAAATTGGAAATACGAAAGGACCAAAAATAATTAGTAGTAGTAGATATATACTAGTATTGTGTTTCTCCTTCCTCTCCTCTTTTATACTTGCAATCCCAGAACATGTATACTCCATTTCTGTAAACTTTCACAAGTTTAATTAAGAGTTGTTAAATTCATTTAGTCGATGAAGTATGACACATAAATATGTCAAACTAATTTTTCTCCCATTATTTTTAATTTATATGTTCGTTTACTTCACTAATCTAATTATATAATTAGTTTAAGTAATGTAGTATCTTAAACTCAAAATTATGGGACGGAGTGAGTACTAGTGATGCGAGAAGCATACCTCTCTCGGCATTAATGTCTTGGGAATCACTCTGGAGCAAGAGTATGTAAAAATTAGTTAGGGGTAAAATCTTAATTAGCCAATAGTAATGTTTAATATATATATGGTGATCAATCTGATTAATACAAAAATTATAGGCAAGGTGTCTGTACGTATTTCATGTTGAGAAGAAAAAAAGGAAGATGTATAGAAGAAAACAAGTACTTGCAAATGGAGAACTAACCCAAGAACATGACGACCACCGTTATAAACAGCTTGAGAGACCAAACCCATCAAACCAATACTGCCTCCTCCATAAACCAGGTCTATATTTCTTGATACCTAAAAGCAAAAAGAATAACTCAAAAAGCTGAAAAGCAAGTTGACATCATTTATTAGTACTATAACATTTCACTATGAGCTTAACTAGAGCCGCATAGAAATAATGATTCATACGACAGACCAAACTTGCTTGGGATTGAGACATAGTTCTAGTATGTGCATAAGCTGACTTAGAAAGACAATTTGCTTTTGCTTCTAACAGTATAAGGTAACAACAATTATAAACAGGAGATGCAGACGTCGAATTTAGAAAGTGATGAAAACAGAGAAAAAGCAGAGTAATATATAGGAGTATTTTCCTTACTAGTTCTCTTCCAAGCTCTACGGCAGCCTCCTTATAGATATTCTTTTTTCCAGGGCTACTCCCACAGAACACACAAATCTTCTTGAATTTCGACTGCTTCATTTTCTTCCCTTCATCTTCCTCCATCTTCAATTTCTCTTCCTATGTGGGTGTGGGTTTCTTTACTGCTTGCTTCTATAAAAAATGGAACAAGTTACTGTTGCGGAAGCCAAATGTATAGAGTGTGAATAAGTCACAACTACTATACCAAAAATTATGACAGCCACCAAATAATAAATAAGACAATAAAGCAATAATAAAGGGAACACCAGAATTTACGAGGTTCGGCTAATTCTGCCTACTCCTCGGACACAACCAAATATTTTATTCCACTCCAAAAATACAAGTGAAATAATACTAAAGAGAGAAGATACAAATGCCTTAAACAGATGAGAAGGAAAATGAGAGGTGTATTTCAATCCTAAACATTAGGCCTTCTTTTATAGGAGAAAAATCCCCCCCAAACTTAACTCCCGACCAATGTAGGACTTTGGCATTTTGCCAATCATCAACAGTTACACTGCCTTTTATAGTAAGAGTTTAACTTATATACACCTAATAATTTTTTATACAACCCGATCCGGTCATTCTTCAAATACCCCTTTCGTAAAAAGTATGATCCATATATAATTTTGAAAATAAAGTAGATTATTTACTATGACAAATAAAAATAACTTGATAGTGTAAAAATTATCCCCCAAAGTTTCTTTAACTTCCATGCATTTTGGGGAGGGGCGGGGCACAAATGCAAATATCCATGCCCCTAGACAATAAGTGCCATGCCCCTTGGACAAGTAGCAGTGAAGAATTATTGAAAATTTTGTGCATATGCCAAATAGCCACGTGCATCCACAAATCTGTATTCCGTAACAGTATGGCAAAACCAAGCCTAGCACGCCTAAAGACACAGCCACTCATATTGCTCAAGTATCTACCTCTACAACGTTGCAGTCAATATATTTTTTGGATGATCTTTTATCAATATTGTCTTTGTGAGATTGTTTCCCTTATCTGTCTCAAATTTGCGCAAAGGAGGAGAGTTACAATAGGTCGACAACCACCATAAAATTAATTTAACGACACAGAATCTATATGTTGGGACGTGCTTACCTAAGAACGTGTCACAAGTTCATCACAACTTGTTTGAAATTAAAAAAGAGTTGCTGTTAATTTTTGACTTCTCCAAGCGTTGAATAACGAACTAAGCAGTATATTTTATGCCTTATTTGTGAACTAGAACGAAAAGTGAAATGCCCAATTGGAAGTTTGTCATTTCAATCAGTGTGAGCAGAAATTAGTGATCCGTACTAGTTGTGAACTCTCAATAGTGAGAGCCTCACAAGTAGCGTTGGCAAACGGGTGGATCAGGTTGGGTATGAGCAGGTCGAAGATGGATCAAGTAAAAACGGATAATTTTTTCAACCTGACTTATATATAATACGGATAAAAGAACGGGTTAACCGGCGAATAATAAGGATATCTATATTATGCATGACTTCTTGAATATGATCATTTTTGAGAGAATTCTTAGTCTCTCAAACTTGAGGCTTTACAAATGTAAAAGTTAAACTCATTAGTTATCTAAATGGATAATATGATTCTTATCCATATTTGACTCGTTTTTAAAAAGTTCATTATCCAGCCTATTTTTTAATGACTAATATAGACGAATAACTATTTTCTTTTAATTATTTTGTCACTACTACTCACAAGTGATATCCGTACATAAGGCTGCAAATTGCGTATTACTCCATGTGGGGTTCTTGAGACAGAAGTCAAATAGGAGTCACAACAGGACTTTGGGTTGGTGATAATTTAGCACCATTAGCCGGATTGAAAGATAATATATTCGGATGCGGACCATAATTTAAATTCTATAAGTTTATCTATAAAGTATTTAGTATTGGACCCATTATATTTTTAAAGTTATGAGTTCATATCTATTAATTTTATGATTTTAATAAATTTTTACACATAAATTATTACTTTGTGTCAAAAGTTATGGGTTCAGTTAAACCCGTTACTAATACACTGCATTCATCGTGTTTATATTATAAAGAGAAGTTGTGGGATGGTTGAGACTAGAGAACCCCACACTGCTAATAGATTTCGAGTTCGAATCCCGAGAGTGGAAAGGTTTTACCTCCTTTATTGGGCTTTTACAGTGCAACTTCAAATTACTAGGGCCAATAACAACAAATAAGCTAACAAACAAAATGAGGAGAAGATAGGGAATTAAAGAAGAGAAGAAAAAGGAGAACAGGACCAGCATTTGACGCTAGGGTTAGAAGTGGACTTGGCGGTCGGTAGAGTAGAGGAAGCAAGTAAAAACTGCATGGTTTTCAGAGACGGAGACTTTTTACCTTAGTAATTAACTTCGCAATGAAAGAAATGGCATATCACCTCCGTGCCCTATATATACATATGCACTTTTTACCCTGACACACTATCACTATCAAGTCAATTAAAAAATAATTATAATTAATTGTTCATAAGTAACCTAAACATTGGAAATTATATCTTTTGGGCCCCTAAAGGATGTTAGCTTATTATATAAGGCCATTAGTCAGTCCAACCTTAACCCTAACGTTGTCTATATAAATACCACAACGAGTTGGAAGATATTTTTCTGAATCATCTAAAAAACTACTAGGGTTAGATATATCTCTACATTATTAAGGGATTTTAGGCTATGGCTAAAGGGAGTTCATCCACTTTGTGAGGATTTTTGATGACCGGTGACACAAGTCGTAATTACTCTAACTAATATTTCGGGTTAAATACTTCACTAAAAAAATAAGATATGTTATCTTCCACAACAGATTAAAATACTCATTTTTATATAATTTACACTATCCATATATAAATTATCTTAATCCAACAATTAAAGTATTTCAAAATCAATTCGACTAATTACCATAATCATCCATTATACAACCTTTCTAAATTCTGAATAATACTTATCAAAATTCTTCTGAGTTTGTTACTATCCTCTTCACGATAGATCGATGGACAGAAGAGCTATCCATTGCGTAGCTATTCTTTCCTCTTTCTTTCTTCTTAATATATTCCCTCCACTCACTTTTATTTGTCCAGTATTCTTAAAATAAATTTTCACTTTTACCATATCAAGAGAAGATTTTTTTTTTCTGTTATACTCACAATTTTAATTTCTAATTTCAAATTATTTTCTCAAATCCATTAAAAATATACATTAATTAATATAGGTATCATGATAATTATGTATTTTATTTATTATTTCTTAAAGGATGTGCAAAATCTATAGTGAACAAATAAAAGTGAACCAAAGGAGTACTTCGGTAACTTTTCTCCAACTCAGTTCTGCTCGTATGATGATCGAGTTCCAACCCATAAAATTAAACTACTCTTACTACTTCCTATTATATGACGTTACTCAAGTACTCTATCTGTTGGAAAAAAGGGGAGGCCGGTAATTGCATTAATCATGAGTTTCCTTTGTGTATTTAATATGGATGGAACACATGGTTTCAGAATTACTTGACAGCCTTAACTTTCTGATACTGAGTACTGATTTGCTGGCCATTTGTTGACTCTCAGTGTTGGAAAAATTGGATGATTATGGAGAATAAAAGGTTTAGCTTGAGGTGTGTCAAAGATACTGTCCTTAAGGATAATTTCGCCCACACCGAGATGAATAATATTAGGCGTATCCCCCAGGATTCAACAAGCTCTTCTAGTATAATTAGGAGCAGAAACAACAAAGATTTATGAGAAGAAAACTCAGTACTAAAGAAAAGGGAAGAAAAGGTTTTTTAACCTTTTTCACTCTACTTAGAAGATGAAAACACATAAATATATATAGTCCAAAACAAATGGACTATCTGATGGTAATGTCCAAATCTGATGGTAACGTCAAAATAATGAAAAAAACGTTACCAGCATAATAGCCATTATGGCTATGTAAAAATTTGACTTTTTCAAAACTAATATAAAGAATCCCATAATAGCTATTTAATGGTGAGTTTTAATTTGTAGAAACTGAAATCAAACTTGATAGTTATCAGTTACAAACATTAAAGAAATATATTCAAAATATTTAATGTAATAAAGACCCCATTAAAAGAATGAATCTAGATATGATTTTGAATATTTCTTTTTGAGTTATCAAATTATTTTTCTAACAATCCCCCACATAACTCAAAAAGAATATTAAGCATTAGAGTAAAATAAAAGGTTTCGTTGGGTTTTCACAAATGAGCATAATGCATTGAATCTGGTGTCTCTTGGACTATGAACCAGACCTGGATAAAATAAGATTAAACTTACAAAACAATTGGTGAAGTTCAAAACTTCTATGAATCAAGAATTCTTTTGTAAGTTTAATGTCTTATCTATCACATTTTACCTGCACACACTTTGCTGTTTATCGCGGTTTTGCGCTAATAGGCCATGCGCGCGCCTAGTTTTCATGAGTGCTCTAGAAATTTTTTGCCGTAAATTTCATAGGAGCAGCTCCACTCCACACTCATATAGGTCCATCCATCAAGTGTATTCTGCAGCGCAATACACCACCTATCAAAGGCTATGGATTATTGGATTAAGAGTATAATAACTCAACCTCACATTCTCTGCAGTCTTGCACTATATACACACATCATGAAGAGACATAATTTAATAGTGCACATTTGATTAACTAATGACTTATTATTACCCATATGAACCTACTTTATGGGATCTCCAATCACATAGGTTGGGTTACCATCATTGTTGATATATCTCAAATTGGCAAAAGTCTCAACCCCTCGATGTTTTACTTATAAGTCAAAGGATCGGCCAAATCCTCTTTTGACTACACATAATATGTATAAAATTCTCATCTCTAAGAAATTGCTTTATCACATTATATCTCAAGAGAATGTGTCTACTCTTCCCATTGAAAGATTTATTTTCTTACAATGGTTAGTGCACCTTGGCAATCACAATTCATCGACATAATTATTTTCGGTTTAACTCACCAAGAGGTTGCCTAATTAGCATCACTGCCAGGTAATTTTAATATCATAACCCCCACCAAAAGGTGATCATACAACAACTATCTAGTCTTATCTCAT